CCCCTGGTTGATTGTGTATCACAGTAGCCCTGGTTGATTGTCTATCACCGTACCCCTGGTTGATTGTGTGTCACAGTAGCCCTGGTTGATTATGTATCACAGTATCCCTGGTTGATTGTGTATCACAGTAGCCCTGTTGATTGTGTATCACAGTAGCCCTGGTTGATAGTGTATCACAGTGACCCTGTTGATTGTGTAGCACAGTACCCCTGGTTGATTGTGTATCACCGTACCCCTGGTTGATTGTCTATCACCGTAGCCTTGATTGATTGTGTATCAAGGTAGCCTTGGTTGAATGTCTATCACCGTACTCCTGGTTGATTGTGTATCAACGTAGCCTTGGTTGATTGTGTATCACCATACCCCTGGTTGATTGTGTATCAACGTAGCCTTGGTTTATTGTGTATCACTGTACCCCTGGATGATTGTGTATCAACGTAGCCTTGGTTGATTGTCTATCACCGTACTCCTGGTTGATTGTGTATCACAGTATCCCTGGTTGATTGTGTATCACCGAAGCCTTGGTTGATTGTGTATCACCGTAGCCTTGGTTGATTGTCTATCACTGTACCCCTGGTTGATTTTGTATCACCGAACCCCTGGTTGATTGTGTATCACCGTTCCCCTTGTTGATTGTGTATCACAGTAGCCCTGGTTGATTGTCTATCACCGTACCCCTGGTTGATTTTGTATCAACGTAGCCCTGGTTGATTGTGTATCACCGTACCCCTGGTTGATTGTCTATCACCGAAGCCCTGGTTGATTGTGTATCACCGTAGCCTTGGTTGATTGTGTATCACCGAAGCCCTGGTTGATTGTGTATCACCGTACCCCTGGTTGATTGTGTATCACCGTAGCCTTGGTTGATTGTGTATCACAGTAGCCCTGGTTGATTGTGTATCACAGTAGCCCTGGTTGATTGTGTATCACCGTAGCCATGGTTGATTGTCTATCATCGAAGCCCTGGTTGATTGTGTATCACCGTAGCCTTGGTTGATTGTCTATCACCGAAGCCCTGGCTGATTGTCTATCACCGTACCCCTGGTTGATTGTGTATCACCGAAGCCTTGGTTGATTGTCTAGTACCAAAGCCCTGGTTGATTGTCTATCACCGAGGCCCTGGTTGATTGTCTATCACCGTACCCCTGGTTGATTGTGTATCACCGTAGCCTTGGTTGATTGTCTAGTACCAAAGCCCTGGTTGATTGTCTATCACCGAGGCCCTGGTTGATTGTCTATCACCGTACCCCTGGTTGATTGTGTATCACCGTAGCCTTGGTTGATTGTGTATCACCGAAGCCCTGGTTGATTGTCTATCACCGAAGCCCTGGTCGATTGTGTATTACCGTAGACCCGAAGGCGTAAATCGCTGGTCATTGTATCATTTAATATTTACAGGCCACCGATGCTGAACTACTGCGTAAAACAACAACTATACACACAGGAATATATGCTAGGTGGTCACAAACGTTATTAACATCCCCGAAGCTATTTTACTTAAGTCATAGGGTTCCTGTTGAATTCTTCTAGTCGGATCGTCATTACCAAATCCATCTGCAAAGTGTTGCTGGTTGTTTAACACAACAATAGTACCAGACCAACTGTATGAAGGCTGCTAGATATAATCGCTTCTTGGACCAATTCCGACCCAGAATTCCACAGGGTACTATGAAAATGAAAATTGATCGAGATCCACCTGCAGATTAAGGCGGTAGAACATTGCTGCCTCATCAACTGATGTACCTGACAGGTGCGTGGGATGACGGTGACAGATGACTCGGTGCTGTATATAGCAACCTGATGAGCTGCCTGATGCATCTGTCTCCCAAGCACTCCTACAGCAACACTTTAACATCAACACCCCTTGAAAAACAACGTTTGTCACATTCATACGTCATTGTATACATGACTTTGCGTCTGAATAGAATGCTTTCTTGAAGAAAGAAATGGCCTGACGATGGATCGTTTCTCTATGAAATCAGCTGCGAGCTCTCGTACGAAACTCGTTACGTTGACTGAAGTTTCCATGGTGTCTTGTTTCAAATTATATACGCCAGACCATCGGCTCTTGAAAGCCAAACAGTGTCGCCACGAGAATCGAAAGAACACGAAATAAGGGGATGGAAATGTCGATGATCATGCACGTTTGGTTTATTGCAACCTCGGGGCACTTTTTCTTTTCCGAATCGTACAATCGACTCAATCGGCAGACTTTTCTTGTGAATGTGGAAAGGGTGTTGTCGCTTTTATTGATTGGTTTGTCAATTGGGACTGAAATATTAACTCGACTTAACAAACGAAACTTCGAAACATCCAATTTGACTCAACTAAGGGTAATGATGAAACATAAATTAGTCCGACACTTGAGAGTGTGAGTGAGTATGGTTTTACGCCGCTTTTAGCAATATTCCAGCAATATCACTGCGGGGGACACCAGAAATGGACTTCACGCAATGTACCCATGTCGGGATTCGAACCCGGGTCTTCGGCGTGACGAGCGAACGCTTTAACAACTAGGCTGCCCGACCGTCCCCGACACTTGAGAGTTCTACTTAACTGTACATACGAACATGTAAAAACTCAATATCACACAGTGTGCAGTCATCAATAATAACAAACCCCATGAGGGTGACGTGTGCTATGGCCCCGATCTTCATATTTCCAAAGCTGTGCATACAGTAATTATATTTCATTTTTGTCTTCACTCTCGAGACAAATTGTATTCCTTCCTGCCATTTTGTCATTATAACAATGTTAAATCTCTCGTCGTATACAGTTTCGAGTTTCTGTGGTTCGGGCTGATTGCCCTAGAGGCGAAATACTAGAGATGTTTGTCAGATGACCTGTCCGCATTGCCACTCAATCATAGGTGCCACGCCCTTGTAATTTAAAAAAGACCCTTTTCAGATGGATGTTTAACGCAGCAATAGTCTGGCTTTAGGATGGCGCTCTGTAAAACAATGATCGCATCTGGATCGGAAACGCAGTTGTTGATGTGGTGAGCATGGTCCAACACAATCAGCCTTCATCCCCAGATTCACACGGGATGCCGGGTACCATAATAGAACGGTATCATTTCGTTCTTCAAACGTTAATCTTGAACATCACATCACCAGAAAATGCCATTTACAGGAATTAGTTTTTCACGTGTGTTTTTTATATCATTGAGCAATACGAAGTCATGGGTCGGGTCGACTCGGTGACTTTTTAGCCGCTTTCAGAAATATTCCAGCAATATCACCGCGGGAGGCATCGGAAATGGGCTTCACTCTTTGCAACCATGAGAGGAATCGAACCCGGGTCTTCGACGTGTCGAGCGAACGCTTTAAACACTAGGCTACCCCACTGCCCCAACTAGTGGGTGGAGAGGGTACGGGGTAAGATCACGGTTAAAGAGCATATTGGACAAGCATTGTTATAAGTCAGATTAGGTTGACGAGGTTTCGTCTGGCGTTCAGTAATGAGCACGTATATATTGGGTTCATGTGTTGTGGGTCAATATGTCATCAAAACACATAGCCTTTCCCACCCAAACCCCCACCCCAACCCCCACGCCCACACCCAAGTCTGACACTGCCTATGACATCAAAGGTTCAGAGCTCACCACCGAAACAGATACACTCCTAACAGTCGATTTTATTCCATGTAGTTGTGCGGCTGAGGTTTTTGTCGGTTTGTTAATATGTAGCCGCTTAGCCACATCGTAGAAGAACATCACTTGAGACTTCAGTTATCCGATACTATATGACATTTCACAAACAAATGTCGTGGGGATGGGCTTCACCGTCGGTTGGTTCCCTCTCACGAGTATTTGTTGTTAGGAAGGAATATGGATGTGACAAAGCGATATCAATGATAGAATGAATTGGGCTGACTGGGGGTCGGAAATGACACTTGGAACAAAGATAGCCGGTGGCATAGTAAGTTTTAAACAAAAAGAGTAACGATTTCCTGTATGGGGATGTTTATCATTTAAAGTAAACTTCTGGCAAAAGAAAGCATACACCCATGCTTGATGGTGGCTAAAAATGAAACCAAAAAGAAATGTTTTTTTTATTGACATTTATTTGATACGGGTATCAAAGATGTATTTCGTACCTGAGGTTTGCAGAGTTTCGGAGATGTTGTCAGCCTTGTAACGTTTTAGAAACGTTTGTAATATTTTGATCAAATCCAATTTTCAAGCGCATACTTTTTTTAGCCTGGCAGTTTATTATCCCATCCTGGTTCGTAATTATTCCCCGGACTAAATTCAACTCAGTTTTTATTATTCCACATTAATGTATAATGAGACATGTATAAATCTAACAGGCAAGATAGATCCCATTTCCTTGGCGTATGCATTAACGACGAGGCAGTTTATCCTCAACTGTTTGAAATCAAAATATGTCATTGCACTTAAGGCTTTTTGCCCAAACTCATAGCACATAAGTTAATAACACATACATACATATAACACATACTGTTACATTCAGTTAATGTATGCATGGATTGCCCTTCTGATGTTTCATGGTAAGAAATTCCTGATTTGAGATCTGAAATTTGAGATTGTCCAGATAAAATAAGTTCTGGTGGATCAATCTTTAAGTGTAACAATATATCAGTACTTCTTACAGCTTGACCAGGAACCTTAACCAATACCACCTTATTCTTCTGTCCCTTCTGTGTTTACTGCGTCAACGGTAAATGATGTTGTGACATTGGACTATAGCTGCATAACACTATAACAGCTAAACTAAATATAGTAAACTAACAAACGTATATTGATTAAACATTATTAGCTTGTATGGGTACCCAAACCAAGCGCTGTAAATTAAATACAAAGGTCTCATAGAAGCACACACAATGCCTATGACAGCGTCTTACGAGCTCCAATCACACCCTATGCTATTCAGGCTTTCCGTTGCTTCGCGTTGTCGATATTCCTGCAGTGAATGGAAACGGCTGACGTCGGCATCGATTTGTGACGTCATTGACGATGCTTGGAGACTGAGAGAGTGGGCTGGTGTTCAGAAGCCGCGTTTACCATCAGGAGAAGGACGTGAAAGGTTTAGCTCTGTATCTCACACACACGAAATGCACGCGCATCAGGTCTATAGCTGTGTGCTAGCAGTCGTTCTGGTGGCCGGAACATTTGCGGCACCATTACAAGAGAAACAAGCTAAAGGTGAGATTTTTTATTTATTAGATGTCTCCAACTTTTTTAACTTTGACAAACAGTTTTCTAGAACTTTCCATATTTCTCTGTTAGATCGATCTTACTAGTTTCAAATTGATATTAATAGCATCAACACCTTGTTTCTGGGTTATGATGATTAAACATATGAAAACATTTGAAACGCATTGGTGTTTGGGGCGCTGTGTTTCGGCAGAACATTCAAACAACAAAAGTGCCATACAAAAAGGTGTATTAATATACTTTTTCATATTATCTTTTTGAACTTGTAAACCTCCTATCTAATGAAGTATATCCAACAATGTGACGGATTTCGTTACGTCCTGTTTACCGTCAGAGTAACATCTTTTCTACATAAACGGACTTCATTATTCAAATTCCACTACTTTTAATATCATTAACTGTACAATATATTTGAATTGTGACTTTGCCAACAAATACTGTGTTTATTTACAATTACACTTAAGACTACCAACATGTAAAACAGTTTATTTCTGAAAGATATAAATGTTCTCCTTTGAGCAAACGGAATATTCTCCACATTGAGCTATAAAAATTGTTTTGGATGAAATGCCGCTTTGGAGCAAAAGACGTACCTCTGCGACGCACAAGAGTGAACTCTTTTACTTCAAGATGTGGTGAATCATTACTAAAAAACTGAACTGCTTCTGCGTCGCATCAGTGCGTCTTTTGCGACACGTATAATGAACTATTAGAGCATAGACAGTTGTATAAGCACTACGCGTACCTTCTGATGGTACATCAGTTATGCCCTGTGGCTTCTCTGACATATATTAAACATAGCATAGCTTCATGATGAAGTGAACCGTACAACGATAATGGGAACGTGACTACTCGAGAGGATCACCTAAAGTCACGGAATCAAGGGTCAAACAAACAAAACACCCAAAAAGTACATTAAAAATATCTCACGAGCTATTCGAGTGAGTGAGTGAATATGGTTTTACGCCGCTTTTAGCAATATGCCAGCAATATCACGGCTTCACACATTGTACCCATGTCGGGAATCGAACCCGGGTCTTCTGCGTGACGAACGAACGCTTTAACCACTAGGCTACCCGACCGCCCCACGAGCTATTCGAAATCAGGATTTTATCATTTTAATTTTTTAAGGCACAGCCATGCTTGCTTCCAGTATTTCGACACAACTCGGTTTGGATAAGAAGAAATTATGCTTCCAAATAACTGACGCTTCGAAAACAGGACTTTACAAATTAAAAGTAGAAAACATATAAAGCGTAGCCGGGTTTTCTTTGAGATAAACAGTATTTCGACACAACCGGGTTTTGGTAAGATTAACGTATGTTTAAGTGACCGACGTTTTGAAATCAGTACTTGGCAATTTCAAAGTAGAGAACATGTAGAGAGAAGCCGTGTTTTCTTCGAGATGAACAGTCGTTCGATACAACCGAGTTTGAGATAATCGGATGTACATGTACAGGGTGATAACATTGTACTTTAGGTAACATTTTTCCAGGAGTGGTACAGTAACTTCAAATTGATTGAAAGTCAGAGTCTCGAACAGCCATATGGACGTCGCAGACTCGCAGACATGTTCTACATTCTATTCTGACAATATATCAAACGTCACCACTCGCGGCAGTCACTCGCGATCCGTCGACTCGCATATCAATATTGTCTCCCGCCCCCTCAGTGTATACCAATGTATTTGAAGTGGGAGAATAATTGCCATTTCATCGATTTCTGTGGAAAAGGTTATAAATATTGGTCTTTTATCGTTTTCGTTAATATAAATGCTGCTCTGCTGGCAACTTGCAATATGATTCCGAGAAAATATTCCCAAATGACATTTAAATTAGTTGACCTAAGGGACTGACGGTGTTGGTTCTGCTGGAGAAGCTAATCTTCTTTGCTCAACACATTGATTTCGTAAATATGATATCATGTATGTGTACCTTGGGCCTACAGACAGCATATAACGTATAACTGAAAACATTTAGCATTCATTTAGGTTGTACAGATTTATGGGATAAATTTCTATTTTATATCAAAGCACGATTCTAATGGGTTTTGTAAACGATAAAATCTACGATCATTATCCTGACAGACCTTGTAGTTTGACCTTCATTCATATAATTCTTTGGGATGTAAAAGGACTAGAAATCAAATCTATAATAAAATACGTTGTTAGGGTATATATGCCTTTAAATGTGATAAAAGTTCAGACTAAGTATTTATTCCCCAGTACTTACGTATTTCCATCTACAGATAATTGAATCAACATTTTAAAAAAGGACAAATATTAAGAATATGAACATTTATCGGGTTATTCTATCACCTACAGGTACACAGTTACACATGGCTATGAGAAGCGATATTCTACCAATACATTTATTAGATATTTATCAATGACGACAAAGCAAAAAGACGCAAAACCGCATCTAAAGAGCATTGCTTGAAAAAACACAAACAACTAACCGATTTAACTGTTGGCAAAACCACAAGTCAAATCTACTGTACAGTTAATGATATTGGAATATGGATCTGAAATAGTGACGCCCTGAATCATAGGACAGTTTTCTGATAGACCGTTACACTGTTAGGTGTACTTCATCATGTAACGGATACACACACCAAATTTGGTAAACAATTCAAACATTTGCCAAAATTATATAACTATTTCTTATTATGTTATGCTAAGTGTAGACGTATTTAATACTTGTAAACATATGCAGTAGTTGATATGATGAAACACCAATCATAAAAGAAAAGAAAACATCAACGCCATAGTATGATCAATCTGATTACTGGACGTAAAAGGCACAACAGCGGTGTTATTCTATGCATGGATCCATGAAAAGCACTGATGACACCAGGTGTTCGCGGAAAGGGTAACGCTAAATCAGAAAAGCAATTCATACCAATGTTCTATGCACTTGATTTTAGCATTCCCTAGTGACCTGAACTGTTCCTTGTTTCATTACATTATAAACCGCAATTAGGGCTACCAGGGAACCTGGCAATTATACCTCAGGGCCCCTAGGAGCCCTAAACGAGTCTTGAGATCATCATGGGAGGAAATACTCAGCGTTTATTTCCATTATTGTCCATTAATACGAGCACACGGTGACATTAAGATTTCCTTAGAGAGGTTACGCTGCCACCATCGGTAATTCAGAAAACAGAGGTAATATAGTATTCTTTAACTATGTGTTTCCAGCATATGGAAAGCTCACTTTGAATTTTGGCTAATCTTCTTTGTTTGAATCAGAAGACAAGGCAAGTGTATTTCAGTTGTGTCCCAGGGCTAATATCCTACGGTATATCTGAGTGTTTTATATTGAGTGTTTAAGCGTGTTGTCGATAATGAATGGTTGATCACGTTCTCACTTTTAGGTGTACAAGGAAAGGCAAATTTGATAAATGATATCTAATTGAATCGTAAAAATCGGAGAAGAAAAATCTAAGTTTGATAACTTTTGTTCTCGTCTTTCCTTTTTTTCACATCTAAAGGCCATCTTCTGATTCAAAATGTCAACACAATAAACATTGTCTTGTCCACACAGTCATTCGACGTCGATTTAGATACAAAGTATAGAAATGGATGATACTTCCCCCGCACTTTTAAACATAATAACATTATTGACATAAAACCACTGAAGACGTCAATGTTTCTGAACAAAAGCCATCGCAAACACAGGGCTAAAGTACCATCGGTCGCCTGCAGCAGGCAGACGTTTGTTCTCTGTCGGCATCATGAAACGCCTGTAGCAGGCAGATGGTTACGCTTTGTCTCTTATTGAACGCTATGGTGCCTCCGAGAAAGCATATTCGTTGTGTGAAATAACTCGCAATATCAAATTTCTGAAGAATGTCAAAGCCCACGATGGAAACGATTGTTGCAGGAAAGCAGGGAGAAAAAAGAAAAAAAGTTTAACGGATTTTGCTGATATATTCCTAATAAACTGCCGGACGTATACACCTAAAAATTGAATTTGACCCAAAACGTACAAATGTTATTAAAACGATACTAGATTATGAAAAGTCGCCAAATACATTACCATGGAATACTCATTTCTTGTTTGTTTCATTTATAGCCACCAACAAACTTGGGTATTTACTTTCTTTTGCCTGACAGGTAGTTTAATTATTGCTCGACTGGAAAGTTTGTCAAGGGATCTAAAAACTCAAGATGGATATTATCTTCCTTATCATATTTGCCGTTGATTTTGGTGTGGTCTTTTGTGGATGGTAGAAAGAGTCCTTGCATACAATTCCCCTCAAACAGGATTTTTTTTAATATCTCGTGACACCATGTAAATAACATTGTGATGATCACGAACGATTCTGGAAGTCCCGGACTCTTTCAATAACCATTGAAAGGTTATTGAGTATTGAGATTTCCCTATGACATTTAACATAAAATGCCGCGAGGTTATACCTTCTAGAGATACAATAAAGGTTATTTGTTCCAGCGAAGATGCAAGTTTTGGTCATAACTGAATCTAATGATGCAGCACCCTTCACGCGACCACGAACCTGTTAACATTCATCGATATATGAAATTCACTGCAAAAAAGTTGTCAAATGTTGCTATGATGTTTAAGGACTTTTGGTGGCGTAGAATTGCCCTCACGCTTCGCATAAACTATTGAAAAACATTAGCACTCAAGCCTAGAAAATGTCAGAAGTATTTCAAGGATTACACCGGATAAGCCTGAGGAAAACCACTACGTGTCAGGAATATTACTTAAGTCTCAATGCCTCCTTTGTGACAACTTCCAATCTTAACAGCGAAATGTAAATGTCAACGGTTCCATTTGCTACGGAACTGTTGTTTGTCACGTACAAACAACGTCATAACCAGATCCCAAGAGCATGGCTGAAATTATGTAGCTGGCAGGTATCGATCAATGTAACAATAAGGCGTAAATTCTAGTTGCAATGATGCTATATTAATAAAAGGGGTCTTAAATCATTTCTTCCTGGGAGCCTAAATCTGCAAGGAT